TGCTGTGGCTCATGTGGTAAAGTATTAGCCTTGAGCACCCAGCACCCAGGCCCTGGGTTTAAGCCCTAGGACCAGCACACGGGTGTGCACACAGAGGTGAGGACCTGAGTTCAGTCCCCATCACCAGAAAAAAGACACAATGAAGACTAAACTTTGATTACCTGAAAGGCAAATCTGATCACAAAACTCCCTAGATGTAAACACCTCACTTGGAGCCAGATGAGGCTGATGGCTCATGCTTAGCTCCTGAGGAGGTTGAGATCTGGAGAATCAAGGTTCAAAGCCAACCTGGGCAGAAAAGTCCATGAGATTCTATTTCCAGAATAACTAGAAATAAGCCATGCTGGAGGTGTGGCTTAAATGGCTGAGTACCAGCCATGAGCAAGAAAGCTAAGCAAGCAGGAGACTCTGAGTTCAAACTCTGTTACCTGCCTTCCCACCCCCCCCCCACAAAGAAAAACCATCAGTTATTCCACAGTGCTGAAAAAACAAACTCCAGGCTCCTGCCTTATGTGACCTGTCTTCCCAGCTCAGCTCTTTCCACAGCTCATATATTATGTTCTAGTCGCAGGTGAGTCTTGGTAGTTTGTGAGACTCACTATCGTGGAGTCTTAGAAGATGCTGCTGTTCTCTGGGGACATCATGCTACAGCTGGGCTTTGCTGCTGGGCCCTGGCTGGACACCTGGTTGGCTGGCCCACAGCCTCTGCAGATGGCTTTCCTCACCCTGGCCCCTAATTTGCTCCCTCAAGCCCAATCTCAGCACCCCTCTGTCTGTCTCTGTCTCTGTCTCTCTTTCTCTCTCTCTCATGTAATCTTAGTTTCCCCTCACCTTCACGCAGGGGAAGGAAGTTATTTTTTCCTGCCAAAGGTCATTTGAATAATTGTCTAGATACACAGAATTATTTATGCAGACAAGCAGGCTGGCAGCTGGCAAGCGATTGGAGAAGCATACATGTCTGTCCTGGCAAGTACTAAATGATTTTGCAGGCTTTCTCCATGTGTCACCCAGCTATCTCCTGCACTTCATATGTGGTCAGCCTAGGAGTATATTTAAGTGGATAGATAAAAAGATGTATCAAAACTCTTTGTTTTGTGCTGCTCCTGAGGCTTGAACTCAGGGCCTGGGTTCTATCCCCAAGTTGTTTTTGCTCAAGGTTACCACTCTACCACTTGAGCCAGAGCTCCACTTCCGGCTTTTTGGGTGATTAATTAGAGTCCTACAGACTTTCCTGCCTGGGCTGGTTTCAAACTGTGATCCTCAGATTTCTGCCTCCCAAGTAGCTATGATTGTAGGTGTGAGCCACTACACTGGCCTCAGGTTAAGATTTTTAAAGATCAGATTTAATGACTGCACAGTTTGCTAGTCCAAAACTGCTTAGAAAAGCAAAAAGTGGATGACTCACACCTGTAATCCTAGCTACTCTGAAGGCTGAGATCTGAGGATCATGGTTCAAGGCCAGTCCAGGCAGAAAAATCTTTATTTTTTTTGGGGGGGGTCCGGTCATGGGGCCTGAACTCTGGGCCCGGGCACTGTCCCTCAGCTCTTCAGCTCAAGGCTAACGCTCTACCACTTGAGCCACAGCACCACTTCCGGCTTTTTTTCTTTTTGCATATGTGGTGCTGAGGAATCGAACCCAGGGCCTCATGCATGCAAGGCAAGCACTCTACCACTGAGCCACTTTCCCAGCCCTGGGCAGAAAAATCTTATCTCCAGTTACTCACCAGAAAGCTGGACGTGAAGCTTTGATTGAAGTGGTAGAGTACCAGATTTAGGCAGAAAAAAATAGCAAGTAAATTTGAGGTCTGGAGTTTTAAGTACCAGTAAGGGATGGATGGGCACGCACACACGCACACACACACACATACACACACACACACAGCACTTAGGTTAGCAATAAGACATCTCCAAAGTGCAGACCCGAAGAGGGCACGAGAAGGGTGCAGATGAGGCTGAAGCCCCGAAGTCTCACACCAGCGTTACCGCTCATGGTCAAGGCTGGTTAAACACCTGCTACCTGGGGAACGGGAAAACGGGAATTCTCAGGGTCTCTCGTGGGCCTGGCTGGGTGGAGGCTCAGGTCATAGTGGAAGTCAGGAAACCATTCTCTGCAGCCTAGAGCCTCTGTCACCCTCCCCGCCAAGGAGGACTGATTGGCCTTTTCCCCAGCATGTCTTCAGGCCAGATTCCAAGCACCGGCGTCGCGGGGCCTCTCGGGCGCCCTCGCGCGGCCGTCTGAGGTTGCGCAGGCTGCTGCGGGCAGGTTCTGCAGGAGTTGGATGGGTAGTTTTCATTCTGTCCCATGGAGGTGCTTACCCAGGCAGGCCTGAGGATGAGATACTCAGAGGTCTGGAGCCCTCGGTTCTGTGTTCCCTCTCCCAGTGGCCCACCTCCTTGGGAAGACTCTGCTACTGTCCAGAGCTGGGTGGTGGGTGCCAGCTGAACCTCACAGTCCTCAGGAGAGCTTAAAAGGCAAATGCTGAGCACCAGTGGCTTATGCGAATCCTAGCTACTCAGGAGGCTGAGATCTGAGGGTGGTGGTTCAATGCCAACTTGGGCCAGAAAGTCCATGAGATTCTTATTTCCAATAAACTACCAAGAGGTCGGAAGTGGTGCTATGGCACAAGTGGTAGAGTGCTAGCCTTGAGCACAAATAGGCTCAGGGACAGTGCCCAGGCTCTGAGATCAAACCCTAGGACCAGGAAAGGAGAGAGAGAGAGAGAGAGAGAGAATTCTTTGACCTCTCCCTCCCTCTAGCTCCCATTTTAGTGGCATACAGTACAGACTGTCTATTGGCTGGCCTTGAACTTGTGATCCTCTAGCCTCAGTCTCTTGAGTGCTGGGATCATTCTTTCCCCCCCTCCCCTCACCCCCTCTGCTGCTACTGGGTTTTGAACTCAGGGACTCTCCCTTGTTAAACAGGCCCTCTGCCACTTGAGTCATATCCCCCAGATTCTTTTTTTGCTTCCCTTATTTTAGAATGGGGTCTAATACTTTGCCCAAGCTGGCTTGACATCTACATAGCTAGAATGATAGGTGTGAACTACCATGGCCAGCTTTTTGCCCCACCTGTTCTCAGACTACAATGCTCCTAACCTCCATCTCCTATATAGCTAAAATTATAGGCATGAGCTGCCACATTGGGGCTGATTTCTCTTTAGTTACAGATCCTAAAGGGCTTGGTGACTTTCAGATAGCAATAGCTTATGTATTAGAATAGCAGACCACCACAAAATTTATGAACATACCAGCCCCCCTCCCCACTGTCCCAAATCCCAACAGAAGCCTAAAAGCAAGATGGTGTGTGTGTACTGATCCTGGGGCTTGAACTTAGCTGTCCTTGTGCTTTCAAGACTAGTGCTCTACCAGTTCAACCACAGCGCCACTTCCAGTTTTTTTTGGTGGCTAATTGGAGATAATGGTCTCATGGACTTTCCTGCCCAGGCTGGCTTTGAACTATAATCCTCAGATCTCAGACTCTCTCTTTTTTTGTGCCAGTACTGGGGCTTGAACTCAGGGCCTGGGCACTGTCCCTGAGCTTCTTTTGCTCAAGGTTAGCACTCTACCACTTGAGCCACAGCACCACTTCCAGCTTTTCCTGTTAATGTGCTATTGAGGAATCGAACCTAAGGCTTCATACATGCTAGGCAAGCACTCTACCATTAAGCAACATTCCCAGCCCAGATCTGTCTCTTAAATAGGATTATAGGTGTGAGACACCAGTGTCCAGCAGCAAGATGGCTTTTTAGACTAAAAGTTTTGCCGACTACCTATACTTTTTCTTTTCTTTTTTTGTGGTTCTGGTACTTGAACTCAAGGCCTGGGCACTGTCCCCGAGCCTCTTTGTGCTCAGGCTAGTGTTCTACCACTTCCAGCTTTTCTGAGTAGTTTTTTGGAGATAAGAGTCTTATGAACTTTCCTGGCCCACACTGGCTTCGAAATGTGATCCTCAGATCTTAGCCTGAGTAGCTAAGATTTCAGGCTTGAGCCCCCAGCACCTGGCCTAAATTCAGATTCTTCTCTCCACTTAACCACCCATAAGCTGGAAGTAGAGTTGTGGCTTAAGTAGTAGAGTATGAGCCTTGAGCAAGAAGCCAAGCAAGAGCGTTAGGTCGTGAGTTAAAGCCCCAGTTCTGGCACAAAAATGAAATAAATATAATGAGAGAGAAAAAAAGGAAGGGAGGGGAGAGGGGGGCATTCTGGTATAAAAACATCCAGTCTGGGAGTTCACTTCAGTGGAACACTGGTCTAGCATACATGAAACTGAGTTCCATCCCAATACCTTATACCAAAACCAAAAACCACGACAACAAAAACAGCATACAAAAAAAAAAAAGAAGAAAAAAACCAAAGGGATGGGAATATAGCTTAGTGGTAGAGTACCTGCCTAGCATCCATGAAGACCCAGGTTTGATTCCTCAGTACCACATAAACAAAACAAAACCCCTCTAATTTTTTTTAAAAACAATAAAAAAATTAACTAAGCAAGTAAAACAAACAAACAACAACAAAGTCTACTAGTAAATGTAAAAACCAGTAAAGGATAGGAAATATACTAATTATTTATTTATTTTTGGTGCCAGTCCTGAGGCTTGAACTCAGGACCTGCGTGCTCAAGGCTATCTTTCTACTGCTTGAGCCACAGCTCCACTTCTGGCTTTTTGGTAGTGATTGGAGATAAGAGTCTCACAGATTTTCCAGCCTGGGTTGGCTTCAAGCCATGATCCTCAGATCTCAGCCTCCCAAGTAGCTAGGATTACAGGGGTGAGCCACTGGTGCACAGCAAGAAATATAGTATTTGGAAACCACACTGGATAGAAGTCGCACACAAATGAGCCTGACCTAGTGTCTGTTCAAAGCAGCGTATCACTAGTGGGGGGTGTAAGTGGGGAGCTTTTGGACAGCGGCTGGGTGGGAAGAAAGAAAGAAGTGTTTCTGAGGGGTGTGACCTCAGCCTCCCGAGTAGGTGTGATTATATATAAAGAAACAAAACAACAAAATGTTATTTCAAACTGTGTATTTTTCAATGGCCATTACATCAAAATTAAGCAGAATCACAAGTTAAAAGTAGTACACATACACATGTTTTAAGGTGCATTTTCCAAGTTTTGTTTGGGCTTCATTTAATCTTTGTTGCCTGAGGTGTTCCTGTATATACAATGACCACAGAGCATTCTGAGGCGGATGAGACCCTGGTGAGACCACAGAACTTGGATGTGTTAGAAATTCCAAAAATTAAAAAAAAAAAACCTGTGTGTAATCTTAAAAAACTCAATACCAATCATGACACACATTTTCCACACAAAATTTACGCACTCTAGACTTTGGAATAGCCAAAAGATATTCCAACAAGAGTTAATGCACTTTTGTGATTACATCTACTCAGAGACAATTCTCAATTAAAACCAATGCTTATTAAAGAATATTTTTAAATTAGAGCTCATTGAATGATGGCAATTACTCTAAACAATTTGCAGCCTTGTTCAATAATGATGACTTCTGCCAATTAGTGACCCAGGTACTTATCCTTTGTGGTGCTGTTTTAGTAGAAGACACAATATCTTTCGTTTACAAGCATCTCCCTGCTTTTCCTGCTGATACTCATCATCAACAAGGTATTTTGTTTCTGCTCCAGTTGCTTTTTAGCATGCATCAAACTTCAGCCAATGGGAAGCTCCCTGACAACTGGGAACTACAAACCAAGCACTTTCATTGGTGATTCCTAGGCTTAGTTGCATTCCAGCTAAGCAACTCATTCTCTGTTGTTCCTGAGGTCTGTGTTGCTGCCTGAGAGATACAAAAGGGGCAATCAAGCATGTTACCATCCTTTGCACAAAGCCAGGGCTCATCTGGCGAATGGCCGCAGATGGGAGTCAGGACTTGCATTTCCTTGTCGGAAGACTTGAGAAGCGGAACTGACTTGGGCACATCAGATATCATTAACTCAGCACGAACTCCTCAGATGCAATATAAACGAGCATGGTTAAGATGCAGAACATGGAGGCTCATTGTTACAGTCAAAAAAGAAGGTGCATTTTCTTGGTAGAATGAACTTCTGTAGCTCAATAAACAATCAGAGAGCTTTTCAGAAATTTTTGGAGATTATAGTCTGCATACTGACTCATCAAAATCATGAATGGATGAAGGTCTCTCCAGGGAAATGAATTTGAGACTTATTTCACTAGAAGTCATATACAGAAGAGAGTAACCTTCCCTTAAAAGATGGGTAACTTATTGTGGCAACACTCTTAGTGCTTTCTGGCTTATTTGAGGAGACAATTAGCATAAGAAGAATCATGAATGAAACGACACGTTGCTCAACGTTTGTTCCTGTTCATCGGATGTCATGGGAGCTTGCCATTCAAGCTCTCTGTGAACAAGGCTTGGGGTGGAAGGAATAAGAGCAGTTAACGCCGGTCCCAGCAAATGCAGTTACAGTTCTGAACGTTAGTTGGTGAACATGGATGAGAAGTGCAAATCAAGTAAGGCTCACTCAAGATTTGGGAGTGGATCTCACCAAGAAGTGCTGGAAGTTGGGAAACCAGGTGGATGGTTGTTGATTTGGGAAATTCACGGGCAACCTCAGCCACCTCCCCTGAGTCCAGAGGAAGGGAGGAGAGGAGCATGGTCAATTTGAACTGTGGTGGCGTTTCATCTTCTAATGGGTATTCTGCCCATGGCATCTACCTTGTGCCATGATGAGGACCTGTGCTCAGGACAGCACAGTTAAGGTGACAGTCCCTCTCTGGTGTTTTAGAATGGAGACAGCTTGCTCATGCGTAACACCTTCTAGGGTCTCCCCATTAACAGCTAAAATTTGATCACCTCGCTTTAATCGGCCATCATCTGCTGCTGCGCCCTACAAACAAAAAACACTCCAGTTTAATCCAGGGTGAAGCATGTTAGGTTAAAATAATATTAAAACCAATGAACTTGCATCTATGTGCATATTAAAAGACTAACTTTAAAAGCTACACAATTGCCAGTGGTTCAAGCCTATAATCTTAGCAATGCAGGAGGCTGAGATCTGAGGATTGAGGTCAAAGCCAGCCTGGGCAGGAAAGTCCATGAGACTCATCTCCAATTAACTACCAAAAAGCTGTCAGTGGAGTTGTGGTTCAAGTGCTAGAGTGCTAACCTTGAGCAAAACAGCTAAGGGACAGTGCCCAGACCTGAGTACAAGCCTCAGGATCAGTACACACACACACACACACACACACACACACACACACACACACACACACACACACACACACACAAACACTACACAACTATAAATTTTCTTCTTGTTGTTGTTGTTTGTCACCAGGCCTGGGTGCTGTCTCTGAGCTTTTGTTTTCAAGGCTAATGCTCTACCACTTTGAGCCACAGCACCACTTCCACTTTTCTGGTGGAGACTTTTCTAACTGGGCTGGCTTTGAACCATGATCCTCAGATCTCAATTTCCTAAGCAGCTAGGATTGCAGGCACAAGCCACCTGTACCCAGCTACATGATTACAATTTTTAAGGCAATGTTTTAAATTAAGAAACAAGTAGGATATGCTGTTTGAATAACAATGGTTGAATACTTCAAACTACAACTATGAACCATGTAAACAATCTACTAGTAGGATGTCCTGACACATCTCTTTAAATGGAACTCAGTATTAAATGAGATGGGATGTCATATTATGCCATTTCATGGAAATGCAAAGTAAAATGAAAGCAGAATGGAATCTGGTGTCAGTCTTATTGCCAGTGCCATCATTATATAAGATTTGCAGTGGATTGTAAAGCTCTTGGCATAGTCATCTGTCAAAAGTAGATGTGGCCTTTTACTGGATGAATTGTGTGCTCTGAGAATTCTGTATGGACAAGGCTGCTACAGACCTAACAATGGAACACCTCTGATGTTCTCATCTCTCATCTAGTTACAAGCTTCTACTTCATCTAGTCCTGGGGCTGAACTCAGGGCCTAAGTGCTATCCCTGAACTTTTTTTTTTTCCTCTCCTTTCTCTTCCTCAAGGCTAGCTCTCTTCCATTTGAGCCATAGCTCCACTTCTAGATTTTGGTGCTTAATTGGACACAAGAGTCTCATGGGCTTTCCTGACTGGGCTGGCTTCAAAATGTGATCTTGAGATCTTACCCTCCTGAGTAGCTAGGATTATAGACGATAGACACAGGGTCCTGGCCGAGTCACATTTTATTATACACTCAGACACACATGCTCCTCAAAGTAGTATAAAGCAAGTGAAACATGGATTTTTCTCATTCTAAAGCTCAGCATTTAAAACGGTCATGTTATAAATAGAAATGCTTTGGACTAGTAAGGACAGAAAAGGGCTATAAAAACAATTTGTAGGCAGTTTCTCCCCCATCTTTTGGGGTAACCATTAAAATCCCAGTTAGGGGCTGCAGGTATAGCTCAGAGGTAGATTTCACCTAGCACATAGGATTCCCTGGGTTGGATATCCCAAAACAAAAACTAGAAGTCGCCGAGCACTGGTGGCTCACACCTATAATCTTGGCTACTCAGGAGGCTAGATCTGAGGATCTCGGTTCAAAGCCAGCCCAGGCAGCAAAGTCCCTGTGAGACTTTTATCTCCAATTAACCACCAGAAAACCGGAAGTGGCACTGTGGCTCAAGTGGTAGAGTGCTAGCCTTGAGCTGAAGAGCTGAGGGACAATGCCCAGGCCCGGAGTTCAAGCCCATGACCAACCAAAAAACAAAACAAAACAAAACCAGAAGTCCTCTAACTGGGGTCATAATACTAGGAACATGACACCCCATGTGCACTGAAAGTTCTACACTATGAAAAATGGTTTCATGCACAAAATTACTAAAATATATTGTATACAGCACTAGTGGCTCATGCCTGCAATCCTACCTACTGCCATCCTGGGCAGTCAAATCTGCGAGACCCTTATCTCCAATTAACCAGCAAAACACTGGAAGTGAAGGTATGGCTCAAGGGGCAGAGTGCCAACCTTGAGTGAACAAGCTTTTTTTTTTTTTTTTTTTGGGTCCAGTCGTGGGGCCTGAACTCTGGGCCTGAGCGCTGTCCCTCAGCTCTTCAGCTCAAGGCTAGCATTCTGCCACTTGAGCCACAGTGCCACTTCCGGCTTTTTTTTCTTTTTGCTTATGTGGTGCTGAGGAATCTAACCCAGGGCCTCAGGCATGCAAGGCAAGCGCTCTACCACTGAGCCACCTTCCCAGCCCGAGTGAACAAGCTTTGTGAGAATATGAGGCCCTGAGTTCAAGCCCCAGTACCAAAATAAATACGCAAATAAAAGCACATGCCTCATGTCAAGGAAACATGAACAATAAACAACTATATTACCCAGATCTTCAAAATTCCTAAGAGAGACTACTTAGCTCAGTTTCAGAATTCATTTTAGGAAGACTTCACCATTAAATAATTTTCATCTGCTAGTTTTTGGATTGTTGATTCTTTATAGAAACCTTAAGTATGCAGATATACTTGTTTACTATAACAGATTTAAAAAGTCATTCAATTACATCTTAAACTCCATTATTACTATTTGCATTAGACCTTTCATCTTTTTGTTATTTGTTCTGAGAAGGATCTTGCTAGGGAGCCTTGTCTGGCTTTGAACTCCTCCTCTTCCCTCACTTAAGGTGTTAAGTACTGGAATTATAAGCATGCCCCATTATGCCTTTTCTTTTTCTTCTTAATGAATTAATGAGTTAAATTCAAGACTTCTCATCTTTTTTTTTTGTTGGTTGTGGGGCTTGAACTCTGGGCCTGGGCACTGTCCCTCAGCTCTTCAGCTCAAGGCGAGCGCTCTACCACTTGAGCTAAGGTGCCACCTCTGGTTTTCTGGTGGTTTATTGGAGATAGGAGTCTCACGGTCTCTCCTGCCCGGGCTGGCTTTGAACCGCGATCCTCAGATCTCAGCCTCCTGAGTAGCTAGGATTACAGGCGTGAGCCACCAGCGCCCGGCTCATCTTTTTTTTTTTTTAATTGTGAAAATACCATACAGGGGTTTACAATTACATGGGCAAGGTAAGACTTCTCATCTTTAGACGTGTTTTCAGTGGTTAATTGGAGATAAGAGTCTTACTTATGGGCTGGGAAGGTGGCTCAGTGGTAGAGCGCTTGGCTTGCATGCATGAGGCCCTGGGTTAGATTCCTCAGCACCACATAAGCAAAAAGAAAAAAGCCGGAAGTGGCACTGTGGCTCAAGTGGTAGAGAGCTTGCCTTGAGCTGAAGAGCTGAGGGACAGCACCTAGGCCCAGAGTTCAGGCCCCACGACCGGACCCCCCCCCAAAAAAAAAGAGTCTCACTTATTTTCCTGCTTGGGCTGGCTTCCAACTGCAATCCTCAGATCTCAGCCTCCTGAGTAGCTAGAATTATAGGCTTGAACCAGTGGTGCCCAGATACATATTTACAAATTTTTAGGCAATTTTAAAAATCAGTGCTCAGCTTCATCTTGTAGCTTTTCTTCCTGTTTTTTGTTGGTCATGGGGCTTGAAGTCAGGGCCTGGGTACTACCTCTGAGCTTTTATGTTCAAAGCTAGTGCTCTACCATTTTAAGTCACATTGCCACTACCAGTTTTTAAGTGGTTAATTGGAGATAAGGGTCTCACTTATTTTCCTGCCCAGGCTGGCTTTGAACTGTGATCCTCAGATTTCAGCCTCCTGAGTAGCTAGGATTATGGGCATGAACCACTGTGCCCAGTTCTTTTTTCCTCTCCCTCCCTCTCTCCCGTCTCTTCCTTCCTTTCTTTTTTCCTCATCTCCCCTCCACACACCCCCACCATCTTTTATGCTAGTGCTTCATGTTCTTACTTAGCTCCCCATTTCCCTTCCCCTAGGCTGGTGCTTTACTACTTGAGCCACACCTCTATGTCTGGATTTTTTAAAACTGGTTAATTAGATTTGTCTGTCCAGACTGGCTACAAACCTTGAGCTTCAGGTCTCAGCCTCAGTATCTTGGATTATACCACTGTCTGGCTTGATAGAACAAAGCACACTCTTAAAATCTGTGAGCACTGGCTTCTGCTAATGGACAGTATACAAGGACTTCATTCACTGTGGTGGGGGTTTCCTACCACATTCAAAGAAAATAAGCAGACATATAGACATCTAGCTATAATCCAACATAAAGCAAGACAAAGCACTTAAAAAAGACTCACCTAGTTTTCATTAAAAAAAAAGTATAGTAAAGAGGAAAAAATACCTTTGCAAATATAGTCTTGACATAAATGGGCAGGTCTCCATGCGGACTTCCATAACCCCCTACAATACTAAACCCCAATCCTTCAGAGCCTTTCTCCAAAGTAATCATCTTAGGTGGAGGTGTTCTGAAAGCACAATGCATGCTGTTTCATTCCAGAATAGATATCGAGAGGGAATTTCACACAATGGAAGAACACAGACTTGAGAGAGACTTTCACACTGCCGAAAGCTGTGAAGATCTGTTCACAGAATTAAACTCTCTGTGAGCAATCTAGTGTCATCTTATTTATGAATTTCCCAAGTCATGCCAATATTCTTGATACTTGAGGGGTTTCTCTTGAATAAAATTGACTTACTTTCTACTTAAGAGTCATGATGCTGAAGTTGTCAAAGCACTGTTTTCTCTATACCTTTTTTTTTTTTGTCAGTCATGGATCTTGAACTCAGGACCTGGCACTGTTCTTGAGACTTTTTTGTTCAAGGCTAGTGCTCTACTACTTTGAACCACAGTTCCACTTCCAGTTTTCTGGTGGTTAATCAAAGATGGACTTTCTTGCCTGGGCTGGCTTTAATCACAATCCTCAGATCTTAGCCTCCTGAGTAGCTAGGTGTGAGCCCCTAGTGCCCAGCTTATACCAAGTTTTTTAAACTCTTTTAATTTTGTCCTTTTATTCAGCCTGTACTAGGGTTTGAACTCAGGACTTTATATGCTTTTTTGGCTTTTTCCGCTCACAGTTGGTACTTAGCAGTTGAGCTATACCTCTGCTTCCTCTTTTCTTTTCCAGGTTAATTAAAGAGTCACAAGGACTTCATTGCCTGGGCTGGCTGTGAACCTTAGAATTATAGACAAGGGCCACCAGTGTCCAGATTTTGTTGTTGTTGTTGATTGTAGAGCTTGAACTCTGAGCCTGGGCACTGTCCCTGAGCTCTTCAGCTCAAGACAAGCACTCTACCACTTCAGCCACAACATTACTTCCCATTTTCTGATGGTTAGTGGAGATAAGAGTCTCACGGACTTTCCTGCCCCACTGGCTTTGAACCACGATCCTCAGATCTCAGCCTCCTGAGTAGCTAGGATCACAGGTGTGAGCCACTGGTGCCTGGCTTTTTTTTTTTTTTTTTTTTTTTTAACGAGACAGGTCTTTCTACATAGCCCAGGTTAGCTGGGACCTCTCCATCCTTCTGCCTGGGCCTCCTCAGGGAAATGGCCACAGAGATGTATCACACCTGAGTGGTTGGAGTGCACTCTTCAGACGGCTCTGTGTCTACAACAGACAAGGTCAGCCTTGATGGCTCAGGAAATCGCTGTCTCTTTCCTGCCTAAGCACCCTGGCTATGTCTGCTACCCCCTCCTAAGGCGGCAGTCAGTGCTGATGGGGTCTCTCTTGACTTCCTTGAGAGGATGAGCCCCATCTTCTGTTCACTGTGTTTGATCTACACGTCCAGCATTTCCAATATCATATTGTAATTACTTAACCATCTTTCTTTTCTACATGATCACCAACTCCATCAATCCTATCTGCTAAGACATTTTCTAACACTTACCTAAATCTTAGCTACCAATCCCTGTGTGCAGGTCACAAAATCAGGATCATGACTCTGAAAATCAGTACAAACACCAATGGGGAAGAGAAAAACCCAGGGGAAGCCAAGTAGATAAAGAAAATCTGTTTCAAATGTAGAAATTGAGATTTTTTCAAAACTTTATCCAGTGTGGAAGTCTTCTCTCTCAGAAATAACATGGCTAAAAATTAAATTATCAATGTAGGTTCAAGTAACCTAATCTCAATTTAGCTGGTATCACTTTCTTATCCCCAAGTATTATTGATTGTCCCAAGGATAAAACTTAATGAAGCTCAGTTCTCCCAGCCCTGGCATGCATATAGATCGAGTCATCTGATGGAAAGTCATGAGGGTAGAGGAACGTTTTGAGATTGACACTACCTGCTGCACTAATGTGGCACTTTTTTTTTTTTTTGCTGCCTTTCCTGGTGCTTGCACTCAGGCCTGGGCCCAGTCCCTGAGCTTTTCTTGCTCAAGGCTAGCACTCTACTCTTGAGCTGTTTTTTCTCAAGTTGTTAGCACTTGCTCAAGACTAGCACTCTTCCACTTGGGTGCTTTTTTGGGGTATGTATGTGGAAGTGGTTTGTTTATTGGAGATGAGTCTTAGACTTTCCTGCCTGGGCTGATTTAGAATTGCGATGCTCCAGATCCCTAAGTCTCTTGAGCAGTTAGAATTACAGATATGAGCTACCAATGCCCAGCCACTTTTGCATTTTTGGGTGCTTAATTGGAGTTAAGAGCCTCACAGACTTTCCTGTCCAGGCTGGCTTGGTACTGAGATCCTCAGATCTCAGCCTCTTGAGTGGCTAGGATTACAGGCATGAGCTACCAGCACCAACAACACATTATTTTTCTATTAAGGTCCTGATAATCTTCTCTCCTCTATTTTTCCTTTATGTAGGCCTTTTTTTTTGGTGCCAGTCCTGGGGCTTGAACTCAGGGTTTGGGCACTGTCCCTGAGCTTCTTCTGCTCAAGGCCAGCAATCTACCCCTTGAGCCACAGCACCACTTTCAGACTTTTCTGAGTAGTTTATTGGAGATAAGAGTCTCACAGACTTTCCTGTCTGGGCTGGCTTTGAATTTCTATCTCAGATAGTCTCCTGAGTAGCTAGGATTACAGGCATGAGCCACTAGCACCAGGGTGAAGTAGGTCTTTCTATGAAGCCCAGACTAGCCTCAAAATTGTGATCCTCCTGCCTCAAGCCCCCCAAGTTCTGAGATTATAGACATGCACCACCAGGACTGGCTTGATTTTTTTTTTGAGTGCCATCTTACCTTGGAAATACTATATATTTGCAGTTTTGACATATTTTAATGGCATGAGAAAAAACATAGAGTGAACTTAATATCCTTTCCTCAAGAAAAATAAATTCCAAGACAGAACTTGATAAACTACCAGGAAATGGGAATAGCTGTGAACATGAGCTCCTTACATGAACTAGTTAGACCAGTCAACAAGCATTTATTGAGCATCTACTAGTGACCAGAAACTGGAGATACTTAACAGTAACTACTTAGGCAACACTTCTCAAAGTCTAGCTCCTCTGCCTATTCATAGTAGACAGACTTATAGTGAGATTAATGACTCTCCTGGAGACTGCTTATTCAAAATCTCTAAGAACAGGGCCTGGGGAGTTACTAGCTTTAAATAAGTCATACGTGCTAGTTTTCAACATATTGCTTTTATGAACAACCTTGACTGCAATGATTGGCTATAATGAAGATGTCAGCAAGCATGACAGTAAGACTTCAGAACAAGATTTTTGGCTTAGCGAATCAAAGAAACATGGTGGCTGGCACAATAAAGCAGAGTGCACCTGGGCTGAAAATCTGCAGCTACTTAGGGAAGGCGGTACTGTTTGTGTCACAGTGATACACACCATAGGTGCACACTGTAACATGGTCTGTGAAGAGCTCCTAGGCTGGGACCAGAGTCTGGTGAAGAACGAAGAAGGCCATGCTCTTGCCTTCTTGGACTTTCTCTGAGAATGGGACATTTCTTCTCCTCTCCTGTAGAGGGCGCACTTGAAAATCTGGAAAAAGTCAGGAATGTGGCCCATACACATAGGAGGCACTCTGCATCTACAATACTCACTCTGTGTCTTCCGGATGGTTGGCACTGGGGGAGCCTAGGTGGTAGCCTGTAGACATGTTTTCAAGCTGAGTGGCTATGGCACTTATGTTGGTATCGGCTACAACCTGGGGGTGAAGTGAGAACAAGACATTTCACCATAAGGCAGGGGAGAGTTACAGAAACCATGCGATATCCAGGGACCAGTTCTCCATCTTTGTCCTATTCAATCCCTCAGCAGCACGAGACACAATAGACTCTGGTTCTCTCTCCCCCCCCCCCCCCCTCTGATACAGGGTCTCACTCTACCTGGAACTGTGATCTTTCCTTTTTCTGCCTTCCAAGTAGATAGCAGTAGTGGTTTGGCCTTGAACTCTTGACCTTCCTGGCTCAGTATCTTGAATGCTAAGATTAAAGGCATGGGCTACCACTCACAGCTGGTTTATTCTCTCTCTTAAGCTATTTTTTTTTCCAGCTGATTGTTGGTGGCTCATGCCTGTAATCATAGCTACTAAGAAGGTTGAGATCTGATGATTGCAGTTTGAAGCCAGCCCAGCCTTCAAACTACCCCGCACCCTGAGCTGTGACTCAAATGGTAGAGTGCCAGCCTTGAGCATAAAGCTCAGGGATGGTGCCCAGGTGCAGGACAGGTAAAGACAAACAAAAACACATTTTTTTGTTCAGTTGGCCAGCATCACATCACAGTTTATTAGTTTATTTCCCACTTTTATTTTTGTTCCTTCATATGCTGCAAATCTCTGATTATCCAAGTGGTAGAGGGCTCAGTCCTTTTCATCAAAACATACTCTAGTTATCTTTTCTTTCTTTTTTGTTTTTTTTGCTGGTCCCTGGCACTTGAACTCAGGGCCTGGACACTGTCCCTGAGCTTCTTTTGCTCAAGGCTAGCACTATTACTTGAGCCATATCTGCTTTTATTGGAGAGAAGAGTCTTGAAGACTTTCTTGCCTAAGCTAGCTTTGAACTATGATCCTCAAATCTCAGCCTCCACAGCAGCTAGGATTACAGGTGTGAGCCACCAGTGCCCAGTAGTAGTCATCTTATGAATTTGTGTGTGTGTGTGTGTGTGTGTGTGTGTGTGTGTGTGTGTGCCAGTACTAGAGCTTGAGCTTGGAACCTGGCACTTTTGCCTTTTCTTTTTCTTTTTTGCTCAAAGCTAGCCTTCTACCACTTGAGCCATTCCACCACTTCCAATTTTGCTGGCTAAGTGGAGATTAGAGTCCCATGGACTTTTCTGCCTGGGCTGGCCGTATACCATGATCCTTAGATCTCAGGCTTGCTGAGTATCTAGGACTATGGGTATGAGCGACCAAGGCTTGGCACAGCTCATGGATTTAAACAGCATCTAAGTGAAGATCATTCTCAAGGCTGCATCTCTAGCTGTATCTCTTACCTAACTCCAAATCCACATAACCAGTTCCCAACCTGACCTCTCCAGGGATGAAGTATGTTTGGAATGCTTTTCATGTATTCCAAACTAACATGTCCAAATCTGACCCATCTTCACCCTTTGCTCCTAGCCTTCCTCATATCAAGCAAGTGTCCTCTCCTTCCCTCACAGCTCACACCCATCCTCATGAAGTAGGTCCTTCTACAAAGCCATCTCTTGTCTGGAGTTTTATAATAACCTTCTCAATGGTGCCCCACTTTGGTCCCACAATCTGCAATAGCTAGAATAATTCTGTATAGGAAAGATAGTGTTATCCTATGTTGTGGATCTCCAGAGACCACCAAGGAGCTGATTCTGATGCAAGCACACGAGAGTCGTTTATTGCAAGCTGGAGCCTGGACTCACAACCGTCACCAACGCAGCGGATCAGAGCTGAGAGCCATGACCCCCCATTCAGCAAGCTTTTTATAGGTTACAAAGTTAGGCTTAGGGGATTTCCAGTTTAGCAACTACATGATTGGTTAACATCTAGCAAGCAAGTCTTATCACAATCTTATTGGCTAGCATATGTGGGCTAAACCGCAAGAATGTTAGCAATACTATCTTAGGCAACATCTGGAGCTTTAGGTACCTTCCTGTTATTTTCTGACTGGCAGTTGCTATTGGAGTTACAGGGTAGAACGTTATTGGGACATTCTGGAGTTTCTCCAGGAACCTGAGTTCATATTGTCAGTAGAGGCCTTCTCTCAAAATGGAGTCTGAGTTCAAAATGGCTGTACTTTGGCTAAGGCTTCACAATAGTGGATTCCTTGATTTCATTCCTCTGCGTAAAGCTATCTGAAGCAAATTCCACTGTGGCTCACAAGCTGAAGTCCTTACTAGGATCTACAAGGTCATGTGAAGGTGGCCAGCTCTGTGACATCTGTTCTTTATCCACATATTTCTCCTCTGCATTCAGCAAGATCCTCTTCTCTCACGTCAGGCCCCTCTCTCTGCCTGCTCTGCACGCGGCATCTGCAGGTGAGTTCCTGCACGTCTCTTGGGTCTTGGAAGTCACCAGTGTCCCCTCTCTGCTTTGTTTTCCTTCCAACCACTGTCACCATCTAACAAGCTACATCTATTTCACCTGATTTCTTTATCCACTATAATATCAGGGAGGATGTGAGTCGATGTTGGTCTGCCATGGGCTCTCATGGAGAACAATGCCTGTGGTACTGCAGGTGCTCAGTAAGTACCTGGTGAGTGATGGAATGCTTTGTAGTTGGTCCTGACCAAAGGCATAGCAGACAAATGACATTTAAACATTAGATTTATATTCAGATTCTGCAAAGAGCATTCCTGAGATTCCAAGAAGGAATGGAGGCAGTTCAGCTCAGAGAGCTGGCACAGGACCTGAGTGGAGTCCAGCATAGGGTTTTGCCACTCAACACCATGTTGAGCATTGGCTCCCTGGTGTGTTGAGTGAGAATCACCAAGGCCTGCCTCGGGCTTCTTTTTCTTGGAGTTGGCTTTCACCCCAACCTGTCACCACAGCTTCTTTTTCAAGAGCTCTTTGGTTGCCATTGCTTTTGACCACAGTCTGCCTCTAGGTTATGCGAACCTTTGTTGGTATCTACAGGAATCACCTTCAGGACCTTCCAGGGTAGCAAAATCCATGGATACTAAAGTCCCTTGCAAAACCCTATCCTTTTGAGTCAGATCCTGGTGGCTCATGCTTATAATCCTAGCTATTTAGGAGGCTAAGATTTGATCACAGTTTAAAGCCAGTGTTGGCAGACAAATCCAAGAAACTCTCATTTCTCAAATTAATCAGCTAAAAGCCCTAAGTGGAGCTGTGGTACAAGTAGTAGAGTACCAGCCTTGACCAAAAAGCCAAAGGAAAGCTTGAGACCCTGAGATCAAACTCCAGTACCAGCACATACACCAAAAGCATATCCTAGCTGGGTGCCCGTGGCTAACACCCGTAATCCTAGCTACTCAGGAGGCTGAGATCTCTTCAGTTTGAAGTCATCCCAGGCAGGAGAGTCTGTGAGACTCCTATCTCCAATTAACAACCAAAAAGCTGGAAGTAGAACTGTGATCCAAACGAGGGAGCGTTAACTTTGAGCAAAAGATGTTCTGGGAAAGTGCTCAGGCCCTGAGTTCAAGCTCTAGGGCCAGCACACACAAAAAAGAAAAGAAATAGAAAGCATACTGTCTCTACACGTCAGATTATTTCTTGATTACTTACAATGCCTAACACATGCAAATAGTTGCTATATTGTATTATTTGGCCAGAAACACAAGCAGAAGTCTGAATATTCAACACAGAGGCAAACATCACAGGCTTAACTTCATGTTCAGTCTATGGTTGGTTGAATCTAAGGACACAGACCCCAGGGATTCAGAAGGCTGATGGCGACACTTCATTGTACAAGGACTCTTGAGGACTTGAGTAACTTCATTTAGAAAAGGAATAGATGTAGCTGTAGTTTCAGAATGCACCAACAGAGGGCGCAGCTGCCTAACTCTCTAAATTGATGAATTTGTACATGTAGAAATGCAGAAGGCCTGCCTCAGGATGGATCAGAACACATTTAGGAATTTGGGACACATCCTATCCTGGGGAAAACGCTGCTACATGCAAGTAGTAGATCTTCAGGAAATATTCCATGAAAAACTACTGAATGAATTGGGGGATATTTAAGATAAATGACTTAAGGAGGAAATGTCATATCACAGTCTACTGAGTAGCTAGGATTTCAGGCATGAGCCACTGGCGCACAGCTCAAGTCCTAGATTTTACCTACAACATTCTTCTGCAATCTGTTTGCTTTTCATTTACTAATGATCACTATAATTCATTCCACCATCATCAAGAAGCTATCAATTGGAATCCTTACTCATCTTCTCCTGAATCATCAATTACCTTTTCAAATGCACAATAAGTAAATGACACGCTCCTGCTTAAAACTTTGTATTTGGGATGAAATTCCAAGCACATAAAAATCCAATCATTGAATCTCATTTATGCCTTTCCACTCTCCTCTGCTTTCTAGAGATCTCTTCACTCAAGTCCCCACCCAAATCAGTCAGCCTGGCATCAGCTGACTGGGATCATAGCTCTCTTTCATACGACAACCTTCTTTGACCAGCCTTGTCTAAATTAATTTAGTCAGTTTTTTTCCCCCATAGGACCCCAGCATTTTCTCATAAACTGGGATGGTTTGTGTTTGTGGGACTGTGGATCCATGAGCCCAAGGACCATTTCTCATCCACACAGTGCTAATGGCAGGCATGTAACAACTGCTTAATAATAAGGAGTTGTAGAGTGAAGGACTCCATCTAAAACTTTCATGAGCAATAGCGAGTCTATAAGGTTTCACTTTCAGAATTTCCAGAGCCAGAGTCCACGAGTCTTTTAAGGAGAAAAAAACCAAATGTGACAATTAAGGTGGTGTAGCAGGGCCCCATCTTTGGATTCACACTCACTGAAATGGAATGATGGCTTGACATTGGGGGTTTGAGAGGTCCCATGAGTGACCTGGCTAACCCATATGTTTCTGAGTTTACCTTGTTTCATTTCTTCTGAGTTTGCCAGCCTCTTTCTTCCCTACAGTAACCTTGGATCTCAAGAAAAACAGTCCTGAATGATGAACATCTGAAAGAAACTACAGAGGGTTGTTTCTCAACAGACTATCTTGGTATGATCCCAGCTCCTCATGGCTGATCTCGAGATAA